TTTGAGGTACTAATGTTTTTCGCTAACTACCACTTAGGTACATGCCTCGGGTACGGAAATACATGTTATTGTGAACATGCTTGGTACTGCTGAAGTACAGTGCCCGATACTATTGGAGTATCACTAGGAATGCTGAGTGTAAGCTAAGTATTGCTTAGGTTAAATTTTTCCGGGGTACTACTAGGGTAAATGCCTATAGAATATGCCTCGATACTTCTAGTGTGCAATGCTCGGTACTGTTAATATCACTAAGTACATCCGAACTATCTAGATACATGCTTCATAGCCGGCTTGATATATACTTGGTGTACTCGTATCCTCCATGAGAATGTAGTACAATAATGAATGACAAATAATTGCCACTACATGATTTTTGGTAACATTCTCAGTACGCTCGGTATGCTCGAATACCGCTCGGTCATTATCGTATATTTTTTCTACCCACATGTTGCATCACATTTGATGTTTTTTCTATTAATAATAAAACTTTGTTTGTTCAGCATCTTGAACTAAAACCATTCTCTAGAAGGTATTGTTAAAAGAATTATCAATCCTAATGAAATAGAAGTAGCAGCGGTAAACAAACTTCATATTTCCTAACCAGCTGAATCAAGTATGGATTGGTACAGACAGTAGTGCGATGAACATAATTTTTCCCTTAAATGTAGTGCTTTTTCAATGCGCAAGCAATGGGTGTTGTATCCTTTCAGAGAACCTCCTAGTAATACTACGTCAATCTTAGAAAATCCTTAGCTCTTCTTAGGTCCTAGGTAGGAGGCCATTTCAAGCAATTGCCTCGATCTTGGGCCTATTCAATAGCCAGTCCCCTTTCTGGGATACATATGCCGCTAAGTACTCACACTTCACATGTGCAAAATAAATCAACTTCTTCCATATGCCGCCGTTCAGTTGATGCTTCTGTAGACATCCCTAAGGACTACCCTTAAATGCTCATCATGGCACTTTTGCCATGCCAAGATATTATCAATAGAAACCAGACAAACTTGCCTGAGTGTAAGCTGAAACACCTTATCATGGTAGGGAGATAATAAAGTTTAACATGCGGTCAGTTGGTGAGACCTTAATGGCAAATCCCAAGAACTTCCATAGTATCGCCTCGTCTGCCTAAAAGCTTTCCGGAACACCTTCTCTCTCATCCAGATCTGCTTGAGTTAATTTGACTTTAGATCAGCTTTTGTAATACTCCAGCCTACTGCCACAAAGCTCAACTAGTACTGAATAGAAATTTACTAGCATATATCTCCTTATTAGTGGCTCAGTAAGTCCTCATAAAATCAATCAACTCCATCCTTTTTCAACTAGTAAAATAGGCTGAGAATGGCCTCACACTTGCATGTATGATGCACATCTCCACTCTCCTCGTACGTAAATTTTTATATCTTCATTAGATTTGGGGGTTAACGATAAGGCTTTACACTATTTGTGATACCTCCTCGCTTGCGTGATGACATGCTCTTGTCCTCTTTCTGAGGTGGCAATCCTAAATTGTGGCTAAACAAACCTCACATAATTGTTGTATAACCGGCTATACGAAAGAATATTCCCCTTCCTTCCTCCCCTCTAATCCATTGAAGCTCTGTAGCCTTAATTCCAATAAAAAACTTCACATAACTGTTGTCAAACCTGTTACCAATGGTTTTAGTGATGTCATGACTTAAAGGAGTCTTGTATCTCCTATACCATCCTCACCGTTCCACATATAACTCCATTGTTAGCACCTCCAATTACCTTAGATATCCTCAAAGTCTGTATGCCATACTCATCCCCAAATGACATTAGTGCTCGCCCAGCTCCAATGAGAGAAAATCCTCCTCTATTGAGATCCCTTGTAATGTCAAGACTACTCCGACAAACATCCCTCACACTCTCTTAATCTTCCTGTCCCACTCATCACCCCATAGCATATGTGTCCACCAATGTTCAGTCCTAATTGTCTATAACTATTGGGTAGATGAAATTGTGAGTGGCCCCATTGCTAATCGGCACCACTGAACGTCCTGTCTACTATTTCCCTCTCACATTCATAGTGGTGATTCAGAGTGGAAATCTCATCACTGGGAGTTAGGGAGACCTTCAGCCATGTCTTAAGTGCAATTTTTTCCTCCTCTGTTATGCGTCACTGCCCTACCTTCCTCAACTGTCCTCGTCATCACTGACGATGAGGAACAAGAAGATTGGTCTATAGCCATGATCAGGTATGGTATTCTCATCACAGTCTAACAACATATACCTTTTTTGTCCTTTTATCCTGCACCTCCGCCTAGGGAATGTAATGAGCTAGCTGACTCAGCTTAACTTATTATGCCGGCAGCCAAGCTTACTGAGCTCACGGTTCGAGGCTCTAGGTCAGAACTTCGAAGCTTTGTTAGTAAAACGTGCTCGAGTTCATTGCTTGATATGGTCATTGAACTTCGGCTCATGACTCGTGAGACGTGCTCTAAATAATTATAATCATTTTAAATATTTATTTATTATTAAATTAAATATTTCAAAAAGCTAAAATTAATATTTAAATTATTAAATAATAAAATAAATTATAAATTTATATTTAAAAAAATATAATTTATTAAATAATTTAATTAAAATTAAATAATAAAATAGTTAATAAGTTGTTAATAAAAATCAGATGCCAAGTGCTTGCGAGTGCTCGACTCGTTTATAATGGATGAGCTCGAGTTCGAGCAATGCCTTTGATCGACAAGTTTGAGCTCATTGGCCCTACTGACTCGACGTTATACCTCCTCCGTCGCCTTTTGTCATACTTGATGTTCCCTCTGGGCGAAACTCCATTGCTCTCTTCTCCTAGAAGCTCTCTCTATAGAAGATACTAGTGGGTTTAGAAGCTAGAGTTTAAGTAGTACTTCGAGAGCGCCTCCCATGGTGTTACTGTCCATGGCATCCCACCTTGTAATTTTTCTCCACCCCTGAGCGATCTCCTGTTGTCTCTCGTCATCCCCCTAGCCTCATAATCTCTGAGTTCTAACCATATTTCCAAGCCTCATAAATCCCCTCATTAACCTCCACTTCAAGATTCAAAAAAAAAAAAAAAAAAAAAAAAAAAAAAAAAAAAAAAAAACTATCTATAAAAAAAATGCACGTGTTAAATTCTTAACTCCATGGAGACAAACTTTTTTTTATTTAAATTAAAAACCTAAAAATACTGATGTAAAAACTAAAATACATAAATAAATTTTTAAATTTTAATTTATTCTATTAAAAAAGATAATAAACTTTTAATCATTCTCTTTTACTTCTGCATCAACTCTGCAAATTGGCAAAGATCCCTTCATTTATTATGACCGTTATGCATTGAATTGTCAACTACTGTGACAAGTGGAGCCTCCTAAGATAAATTCAAAGTAGAAAACCCTAAATTTTATATTTAGTGAATTTTTAACACGGCCGGCTACTAACTCTTTAGGCTATTCAAGCCCACTAACAAATTATCTACATCTCTCTCTCTCTAGATATTGGACATTTAGTTCAATTAAGACAAAATCAACATATGTAAGACTCGAACTCAAGAACTCTTAGTTGATAGATAAAATTGTCAACCAAAAGACAAATATGAGCCAAATCTTTTTACTTTTTTTAATGTTTATAAAGTTTTGAAATAATATTAATTTGCAATTGCATCCAATCAAATGTGAAATCTTATAAATTTATTATAGAATTGTTAGGAGACAAAAAAGTTTGCCGATAGAGAAAGGGTATTTAATATTATAGCTTTTTATAAAGATGTAGCTCACATTGATAGAAGTTATAAGAGACATGAAATTTTAATATGAAAAATTATAAGACTTGTACCCATTGCAATAGACCACCATATTATTAAATATGTAAGACTTCGCTCTTACCCATAATTGAAGAACTCTTTCCTACAATTGCAGAAGAAAAAATTACATAATTTAGAATAATTGTTAGATTTTCATTGCAGAGATTATTGAAGAAGTGATGAAGGACGGTGTGGATTATATAAGGTCAGCGGATCAAAGATAATGTAACAGATGTCGAGTGTTCACGATCAGACAATTGAAGTCAATTGATGAGGTCGAATATTAATAGTTAGGCGATTGTGGCGATTGTTATAGACGGTAGTTGTCGACGGTGATAGATAGGCAGTGCAATGCAGTTCTTCATATTTCTCAGGTGTTGAACCTCTCCATGCAATAGAGTTCTTCACAAAAAACACTATCCCTATGAACATAGATTATTAATCTATCATGTGAGTGCTTTGATGGTGTCGGAACTAGATGTTCTTGGGCATGTTGCATTCGTCTTGTCAATCCATTCGATTTGACTATAAGCACACAATATTTGCGAATCATTTGATCATTCAACTAATATCATGAAGGGTTCAAATATGTTTTAAGTACTTGATTTAGGTTCATTTTGACTCAAATTAGACCACTTTAGATGTATTTGGATTCGTTTTATCAAGGCGTTTGATTCGATTATAAGTTTATTGAAATCAGAATATGAATGATTCTGAATTTAATTTGATTGCTTCTACATGAAAAATATTTCTTAGAAAATAATATTTTTATTTTAATTAAAATTGAGTTAAAATTAAAAGTCTATCTTTAGACAGATTTTAAAGTTTAATTTTTAAATTAAAGCAACTAAGGCTTTGTTTGTTTGAGCGTTTTTTTGCCGTCTCCGTTTTCGGAAACAGAGGATTTTTTTTTTGTGTTGTTTGGTTCGTCAAATCACGTTCCCAATAACTCCTTTTTTTCATTTTTCTGCATTTTTGAGAAAGTTTTTATATGTGCTTCTCCGTTAGAAAACTCCATTTTCTGAACTAATGTTTTTTAAAACTGTCTTTTACAAAAGCTCAAAAAAACAAACGATGCCTAAGTGTGCTTTTGGTAATTCTATTTTCCTTTAGGGTGTTTTGGTCATTCTCCATGGGCATAGTATTCTTAAAATCCATGCCTTCTTCCTCAAAGCTTTTTTTATACAAGCTATCTTTGATTTTCTTGTTCTCAGACACAGTACCTTAGAACTCCAAGAGAAGAACCAGCAAAGAGGCACCTTAGATCTTCTCCTCAATCTTCAAAAATCCAACAGATATAGATTCTTCTTCTCTGAAGATTGAGCTCTTTTCCTCATACTTCAAATTATCTCTTGCCATGAAATTTATCTCCTTGTTAAAGAACCAGAATACCTGTAAGAACAGCCATGAAGAGGTGAAATTGAGCTCCTTTCTATGCTCATCTTGGTGAATTCTTCTGCCTTCTAACTCACAGCATCAGATGTTCAGGTAAGTTTCTCTTCTAATCATTTTTGTTTGTTTTTTTTAATAATGACATGTAGAAAATATTTCTACCTTTCTTTTGAGATAACAAATAGGTTTCAAGCTGTTTGCTTGATTAATTTTATCTTAGCTTTCAAAAATTAATTGTGTTGAATTAGTCTTCAGTTCATCTGATTGCAGGTGAGAGAATACTTTAGTTTTCATCTGTTTTTTCCTCATATCAAAGAAGGTCTTTTGCTCTTCTTCAGATATTTAACAAAGAATGAACAATAAAATCTGAATTCTGGAGAAGAAGAAAAAGACTTGTAACATTCCATATTTTTTTTTTTTTTTCAGAAGCTGATATTAAGGAAAGGCCATGGATTTCAGAGAAAGAAGTGATTTGCAGCTCCTGAGAGTCTCTAAAGGAGCTCAAGAGCTCAAAAATATGATTGATAATTGGTCCAAATCTTCGAATTCCAACGGGCAACAAAATGACATTTTCAATGATCTTCTAGTAGGAACAGTGGAGCTCCAGGAATCACTATTAATGCTTTCAAGGCTTCAGATCGAATCAAGCAAAATGCTAATGAACAAAACAAGGCAAAGTGAAAGAGAAGAATTTGCAGAACAAAACTCCATTGATTTAAGCAGATATAACAGATTGCACGAACGTAGACTCTCTGCTGACAGTTCTTTGACGAATTACAAGCAAGAAATGAAGCAAGAGTTCAGCGATAAGTTTAACAAATTTGATAATAAAAACGTTACTTCGAACAAAAATTCGGTTCTGCCAAAAAAAGTTGAATTTTCTGCCCAGGGAAAGAAGTTGAAAGCTCCAAATTTGATTGCCAGGCTCATGGGTTTAGAAGATTTTCCTTCAGATGATCAAATTGAAGTCAAGAAAAAGGAGAAGGTGCTTAAGAGAAGTCAAAGTCATGTGGTAAATAACAAAAGTTTGGATGAGATTATTGAAACCATGAGATCTACAGGTTTTCTGAAGAGAGAACAATTTATGAGTAAGAAATATGGAGCAAGTCATAGTAAGAAAGACGGCATCCCGCCGATTGTGATTATGAAATCTCTGAACTTGCCTTATAGGGGGAGAGAAGATATAAATCTAATTTCAGAAACATCTGATTCAATCTTAGAAGACAAAGTTTCTGATATTGACTGTGACTTTTCGGAAAATTTGGAACAAAATGAAGTGATGAGCTTTGAAAAAGAGAAAGTGGAAGCACCACAAAGGCTTACAACAGCTTCTGTTTTCAAGGGAAGGAAAATGAATGATGATTTACAGAATATGGAAATTAATGGAAAGAAACAGGTGGAGAAGAAGAAGTTGAAAGCCATAAGAGAACCAATGAAGATGACTCCTACAGAAAAAATGAAGGCTGAAAAATTACAGGCCTCAGAAAGGCTCACTTCTCAGACAAATAGAAGTCATGAACAAGATAGAAAGAATAAATTTTCAGTGAAGTCGACATCATTCAATTCCATTAGTTCTGTGGAGGAGGAGAAGATTTCAGCAGGAAGACCAAATAGAAAATCAAATAAGGTAGTTTTTGAAACATCCCAAGTTCCCAACCCAAGTAAATTTTTTTTAATAAGAATTTCTCTCTGAAGCAGTAAAACATGTAATCAATGGATGAAATTGGTTGCATAATTTCCAATTACTTGTGGCCTCCTGAGATTTTCCAAACTAAGCATATCAAGATGAATATGCAGTAAGATGCCTATAAGATGTTATCTTTCTTTGCAGACTGAAGACAAAAAGACTAAATATGGAAAGTTAAATTACGCTTTAACTGAAAGCCCTGCAATTTCAAGAAGCAAGAGCCTTTTGGCTGCTGATAGCCTCCTTAAACAAGCACAAGGATCCCACAAAGCCTTCTAAGAGAGGTAACCTATAAGGTGATCCACTTATTACCTTCTTATTCAAATTAAAAGTCAACATGGATTACTACTTTGGTTTAGCTATGCAGGTAGGGCTTTGAATCATCTAATCTTAAGCTGAGCCAGGTCCGGCTATCGGCTGGCTCAGTCCGAAGTCGACTTGAACCATGCATGGCTTCTTAAGTCTGATTCGAGCTTTATACTTGACTAAAATTGGTTCAATTTTAAGTCCGATTTGGTCTTGGTTCAACTCAACTTAATTTTGATTTCGGCAGGTCCTAGCTCTTTATTTGGGCTCACTGACATCAAATCTGACTCGAACCCAGCCCAAAATAGATTTAAGTTCCTAGCAATATGCAATCTCAAGTCAAAATAACAGCTCTATATGCAGGAGCTGAGTAGTCTGAGTAGAAATTACTCAGTTCTCTGACACTTGGCAAATTAATACTATTATTTGATCACAGATGAGATCAGAAAAGGCCGCAAGGTAATATGTGAAGTGATGCCAAGGAACTACCAAGCTGGAAGAAGTGTAGAAATGATTGAAGAATCTATCAGGAAATCTTACTACAAACACCCTACAAAGAATGCAGCTGAAATCAGACACCTCCTTAAACCTCTTTTATTAAAGAGCCAATCTTCCTCCAACCATATGCATTACCTCTTTGGCACCAATGTTATAAAACTGACCGGAGCTGAGCTGTTTTATTCTATTAACTTCAGGCTAGATTAATTCTGTATGGTAGCTTATATGGTTGTATAGGAGTAGTGCTTTCTTATGTTGGGTGTAGCCTATTATGTTGATACCTTTGTCTATAAATATGTAGCTAATGCTTGTAATAGGGAGATTTTGGAGATTAATAAAATGAAGGCTTTTGTCGTGTTACTTTTGATTCATGTATCCTGAATTATATTCAATTGGTGGATTCTTCTTTCAAGGAGTTCTTGGATCGGTGTTCGGACACATCCACCAGATCGTCGACGAGTAGCTGCCGACCCCTCTTCTCTGGTGTCAAAAACCTTCATTCTATCGTACAAAAATCTCAGAAGAACATGAAATTGACCATGATTAATAATTACTTGACTCAGAGAAGGAATTAATGAGTGGAAAAAGTCATGAGGGCAAGTTTTCAATTCATCAACTGATGCAAAAGAGGATGGCGGGTTGATCGTCATATAGATCTTTCAATTACTTGTTGGAGGAAAACAATTATGGGATAAAGAAACTGGAAAGTTATTGTGAGTTTGATGATGATGTTGGAGAAGGATCTTCATTGCAATGAAACTATTCTAAATGTCATATGAGATGAAGGATGGGATGATTGGATTTGTATGGAGGAGGCAGATCAAGTTGTCATGGAAGTGTCGGAGCGAATTTTTTTCAGGATACTTTTAGCAGTTGCTAAGGATTTAATTTAAAAGAAATTTATTTGGAGTTTAATGGTATCTTTCTTTCTCTTTTGGTTGCTGCAATTTTGCTAATACAAGCAAGTTACAGTGAAGTTTGCTAGATTGAAGCATTTCTTTGAAGAGATCTGATAGGGAGAAACGCTTGGGCTTTTTTTTTTTTTTTTTCTTGTAACGTACAAGGAATGTAAATCTCCTAATTTTATGATTTTCATGCTTTGTTCTTTTTAATTTTAACTGCCAAGGTTTATCAGTTTTAGCAGATGGCTGATCAGCTTAATTGATGTAGAATTTGGCCTCACATAACATCATAATTTTGTTTGAAAATGCTTCAGAATCTTTTTTATTTAAAAGATTTACGTGTTTATAATTTTCAACTTTAGACCACTATTTTTTCCCTGCTTTATAGAGATTTTTATACTAAAAAACAGCTCTACAAAACAGTAAGAAAGTCATCCTAAATGAAGCCTTAACCATACTCTATATCTACAAATCTATTGTTCACATTTAAATTTATGGTAATAGTGTATCTTCATTAGTTTAAATTGGTTGGTATACTTTAAAAGTGGTTGATCTTCGTTTGTCATGGAAAAGTTTTAGAAATTCTTCATTACTCCATTGGTAAGCTCTCCTCTCTCTTATACTCATGGTCTCCCTATCCCTTCATATATTAAAATTTTTTGCATGGACAGTGACTTATCGATCCAAAACCATTTCAAATACATCAACATAGACTCGCTTTCAAAACTACATACTAAAACATTTGATATGGAGTTGTAATTTTATCTAGTGCCAATAATTATACATGAAATTTGAGGATGCTGACATTTCCTTCTAGAACTCTGATAGGAAACAAATGCAGAAATTGAAGAAACTTAGGCTGAGCTTTGGAATTTCAGCAAGGTTCAAGCAGAATTTTGAGATAAATCCCTAGGTAAAACACTAGGGAACTTAATAATTCATAAAAACGAAGAAGAAAATAAATAAGATACAATGGATCTTCAATTCGAGAGGAAGATTGAAGATCCGGCTCTCCCAATCGCTAGCCAGTGGTTAGAGCCCAAACACCTAAGAGAAAATTCAGAAATAAGCAAACATCTCACATAATCCTAACCCTAATCCCTTCTCCACTATTTAGAGAATACAAATAAAAGCATAATTACTAAACAACCCCTTTCTGAATAATTTCCCTCCTAAACTGCCCCCTCCTATTTGAATTTTCCATCAATGCATGGGCCTCACAAGGGGGGTTGGCTACTCTTTATTGGGCCTTGAATAGGGGAAATTATTCTGTGCGGAGTCCGGATGTGGTTCTTTGTCCGGACTCCAATAAGATTGCGACACCTGTATTGTAATGTGGATATTCATTTATATTCCATAATTTATTTATTTTTTGACAGCCCGACAGACTTGGCCCAAAAATTTTATGTTCAAATTTTTTGGTTTAGGATTAGCGCTCTTTTTTAAAATGAAATAACCACAACAGCGCTGAAATATTTGTGTTTTTTTGCGGGATAAGACTTTTGGTGCCTATTCAGAAAAAAATAAAGAGAAACAAATGATGAAGATGGGGATTAGTTTGGAGGACTTTACATATTCTTCAGAACCATTGGAGAAGAAAAGAAAGCTTAAGGGTAAGATGATTTTACTTGCATAATCACTTCTTTTTAATGTTTATGAGAGAATATATGTTTTTATGTTTTGATGAGCTTAGATTTTCAACAGAAAAATCTGTCATGGAAAATACAACAGAACTGTGTTCATCTTCATGGCATATGAAATTCTCAAACAAGCTCAAATACTTGGCAAGAACGATTTATGTAAATCAACTATGTAAAATTTTATATAAAATGATAAATTTGTAGACATTCATTTATTCTCTCAGATGTAATTCTTATTCATTTTTCTCTTTCATTTATGTGATGTTTAGTATTAAATGCATGCTCTATAAAATTTTATGAGAAATATATAGTTATTCAGTATTGCTCATTGAAGAATAAAGAAAAGCTCATTTTATGCTTTCGTTTACGTGATGTTTTGTTCATTTTAATGTTGTATACTATTGTGTATCGCTAGATACTGCTCAGGTATTGCTCAGTACATGCTTGGTGCTACTAGGTACATCTTTGGTACTGCTAGGTACATGCTCATTATGGTTAAGTGCTACTAAATACATGCTCGGTACTGCTAGGTACTACTTAGGTACTGCTCGGTACATGCTCGTTAGCACTAGGTACATGCTCTGCTCGGTACTGCTAGGTACATGTTTGTTACTGCTAACTACCACTAGGTACATGCTCGGTACTGGTAAGTACATGTTATGAACATGCTTGGTACTGCTAAGTACATGCCCGATACTATTAAGTATCACTAGGTACATGCTCGTTACAGCTAAGTATTGCTAGGTACATTTTCGGTACTACTAGGTACATGCTATAAATATGCTCGATACTTCTAGGTACATGCTCGATACTGTTAAGTATCACTAAGTACATGCTCGGAACTACTAGATACATGCTCGATACCGCTTGATATATACTTGGTGTCACTCGGTATCTCTCCACTGATGAATGTATGTACAATAATGAATGACAAATAATTGCCACTATTGATTTTTGGTACATGCTCAGTATCACTCGGTATCGCTCGATACCGCTCGTCATACGTAATTTTTCTACCACATGTGCATTCCCATAATGATGGTTTTTCTATAAAATAAAACTTTGTTGTTCAGCATCTTGAACTAACCATCTCTTAGAAGGTATTGTTAAAAGATTATCAATCCCTAATGAAATAGATGTAGCAGCGGTAACAAACTTCATATTTCTAACAGCTGAATCAATATGATTGGTACACAGTAGTGCTGAACATAATTTTTCCCTTAATGTAGTTGCTTTTTCAATGGCCAAGCAATGGTGTTGTATCCTTTCAAGAACCTCCTATAATACCTAGTCAATCCTAGAAATCCCCTTAGCTCTCTTAGGTTCCTAGGTAGAGGCCATTTCAGCATTGCCTCGATCTTGGCCTTATCAATAGCCACCCCTTCCTGGGATACCATATGTCCCAAGTACTCCACACTCACATGTGCAAAATAACACTTCTTCATATTGCCCCTCAGTTGATGCTTCTGTAACACCCCTAAGACTACCCTTAAATGCTCATCATTGGACTTGCCATACCAAGATATTATCAAAGAACACCAGAACAAACTTCCTGAGGTAAGCTTGAAACACCTTATTCATGAGGGAATAAAAGTTAACAGGTGCATTGGTGAGACCTAATGGCATCACCAAGAACTCATAGTGTCCCTCGGTGTCCTAAAAGCTATCTTCGAAACACCTTCCTCTCTCATCCAGATCTGATGGTATCTTGACTTTAGGATCAGCTTTGTAAATACCGCCACTCCACAAAGCTCAACTAGCACTGGAATAGGAAATTTACCTAGCATAATCTCCTTATTCAGGGCTCAGTAGTCCTCATAAAATCGTCAGCTTCCATCCTTCTTTTCAACTAGTAGAAATAGGCTAGAGAATGGCCTCACACTTGGCATGATGATCCCAATCTCCAACATCTCCTCGATCATATTTTTAATATCTTCATTTAGATTTGGGGGTAACGATAAGGCCTTACACTAATTTGTGATACCCCTCGCTTAGCGTGATGGCATGCTCTTGTACTCTTTGAGGTGGCAATCCCAAATGTGGCTAAAAAACCTCACATAACTGTTGTATAACCGGCTATACTGAAAGACATATGTCCCCTCCTTCCTCCCCTCTAATCCATTTGAAGCTCTGTAGCTCCACGAGAAATCCTCCTCCTCCTGTATGGCTCTTACCATGATTTTTAGTGATGTCATGACTTTAAAGAGTCTTGTATCTCCCTTAATCACCATCCTCCACTGTTCCACCATAAGCTCCATTGTCAGCATCCTCCAATTCACCTTAGAATCCCCCAAAGTATGTAGCCATCTCATCCCCAAGATGACATTAGTGCCCCCAGCTCCAATGAGAGAAAATCCTCCCTCATTGAGATCCCTTGTATGGTCAAGACTACTCCCCTACACACCCCTCTACCTCTCTTAATCTTCCCTGTCCCACTCATCACCCCATAGCATCATGTGTCCACCAATTTCAGCCCTAATTGGTCTATAACCTTATTGGAGATGAAATTGTGAGTGGCCCCATTGTCTATCGGCACCACTAACTCCTTATCTACTATTTCTCCTCTCACATTCATAGTGTGATTCAGAGTGAATCTCATCACTGAGTTCAGGGAGACCTCAGCCATGTCTAAGTGCAGTTTTTCCTCCTCTGTTGATGCTTCACTCCCACCTCCCTCAACTTCCTCGTCATCACTGACGATGAGAACCAAAAGAGTTTGGTCCTTATACCCATGATCAGGTATGTACTTCTCATCACATCTACAACATAACCCTTTTGTCCTTTTATCCTGCACCTCCGCCTAGGGATGTAAATGAGCTGAGCTGACTCAAGCTTAACTTACTTATGGCCTCGCGAGCCAAGCTTATCGAGCTCACGAGTCGAGCTCTAGGTCAAACTCGAGCTTGTTTAGTAAACGTGCTCGAGTTCGAGCTTGATGAGATGAGACTCGGCTCATGAGCTCGTGAGACGGCTCAAATAATTATTAATATTTTTAAATTATTTTATTTTATTTATTAAATTTAAATATTCAAAAAATAATAATAAATATTTAAATTATTTAATAATATAAAAATAAATTAAAATTTAATATTTAAAAATAATAATAATTTTTTAAAATGTTTAATAAAAACTTAAATAATTAAAATAGTTAATAATATGTTAAAAATCATGCCAAGGCTTGCGAGATGGCTCGAACTCGTTTATAATGGGATGAGCTCGAGTTCGAGCAAACTTTCTGATCGACAAGCTGAGCTTGATTAGGCCACTACTTGACTCGACTTGTTTACACCCCTACCTCGCCTTTGTGAGTAGCTTGATGTTCCCCTCTGGGCGAACTCCATTGCTCTTCTCCCTTGGAGCTTCTCTCTATAAAGATACTATTTGGGTTCTAGAAGCTAGAGTTATAGTAGTACTTCGATAGGCCCCTCCCATGGTGTTACTTCCAATGGCCATCTCCCTTTTGTATTTTTTTCTCCACCCTCTGAGCGATCTCCTTTGTCTCTCTCAGCCCCCTAGGCCTCAATACTCTAAGTTCTGCTCATATGTCCTCCCTAAGCCCCTTCATGAAATTCCCCTCTAACCCTTCCTCAGAGATTCCCCTCAGTCTCCTTGAGAACAGCTCAAACTTCTCCTGGTGCTCCATAATTGTCCCCTCCTTAGAGCAAAGAACAACTCGTAGAGGTCCCCTTCCCGAATGGCTAAAAAATGTTCCAATAAGCACTCTTTAAACTATCCTCATGGAGTTGATTGGAAGCCTCACCTCCCTCTACTAGAACAAAGCGAGGGCTTTCCCTTCAAAATATAGACCTACCATGAGTTTCTCCCATTTAGTTAACCCATTGATGGCAAAGTAATGTTCCACCTAGTACACCCAACCTTGAACATCTTCCCCATCAAAGACTAGCATATTTAGCTTCCTTGCCCTTGCATCTATACCCCATTGGTTTCTTCCCCTGTTGGTTCCCCCGGTGTAGTGGTGGTGTGATTCCCTTCCTACCTCCCTTGCTTTATTTTGAACTCATGGCTCCCCCCAACCATGTCCTTCTCCAATCCACCTCTCCCCTTGCTCTGATAATCTACCAAAAGGGTTGGCTTCCTTCCTCCTTTTTGTCTCCCCTTCGGAATAACCCATACACCCACCAATGGGAATCCATGTGGCGGTCCTTGATGAAAAACACTCTCCAATTTATTATCTTCCTCATGGATCTCCTTTCCTCATAATTCCACCCTCGGAATCGCCGATGATATTTTTGATTGCATTTCATCTATTCATCATCTCTTCAAAGTTCTCAAAGTGTTTTTAAATGTCTGAGAGTCATCTTTCCACCCCGAAATATTTTTCCTCTACTCTAACCTTGAGTTGTTTCATCTCGCCATCCAACGCATCCACATTCTTTGCTGCCATTAATTGGATCTAGTTTCTAATCGTAAAAATAGTGAAGAAAACTTATTTTTCCTTCTAAGAAAATAATATGATACCAATTTGATAGGAAACAAATGCAAAAATTGAAAAAAAAAAAAAAAAAAAAAAAAAAAAAAAAAAAAAAAAAAAAAAAAAAAAAAAAAAAAAAAAAAACATAGCTGAAATTTTAAATTCCAACAAAGTTTAAGCAGGATTTTGAGATAAATTCTTAGGCAAAACTCTAGGGAACTTGATAATTGATAAAGACGAACAAGAAAACAAATAAGATACAATGGATTTTCAATTTGAGAGGAAGATTGGGCTCTCCCAATCCCTAGCCAATGGCTAAAGCCCAAATACCTAAAAGAAAATTCATAAATCAGCAAACATCTCACATAACCCTAAACCTAATACCTTCTCCCCTATTTAGAGAATATAAATAAAAGCATAATTACTAAACATCCCCACCCTAAATAATTTCTCTCCTAAATCGCCCCCTCCTATTTGAATTTTCCATCAATGCATGAGCCCCACAAGGGGAGCTGGCTGCTCCCTATTCCGCCTGGAATAGACTAGGAGCCGGCCTTGGTGTTGAGCAAGCTAGACCGTTCCATCTTGGACCGATCTATCAAACTCTTCATAAAAAAAGCTAGAAGACACCTTAAAAGAGCGTCACTCTTGAAACTCTTTGTTAGCAAGTGGTGGTTCCCTTTGGGGTTCTTGTTTGGTGAAGATACGAAAGCCTCGTTAATTACAAGATGACAATACTAGAAATCGTGTCAAAGCCCTTTATTGCTAGTTCCTCCTAGAATTCTTTTCTCAATGAAGATCAATGGCACTCTATTGAATTTCATTGATGGGATTCTTAGGCTTCATTTGGAACAACGTTCTTCCTCCTTTCTAAAGCAACTTTCTAGTATAAAAATTTTTAATTTAAAAAATTTTTATACTAAAAAGCTACTTTATAAAGCAATAAAAAAATTATCAAAAACGAAGCCTTAATCAAACACACTACTACTAGTTCCTCCTATGACTCAAAATTGGCAATGTTGCATTAGTCATTTTGATGAGTACCGCCCTTAGCCAAGGATCAAAGCCTCTCAACAATGAATTGCTCTTGTGTGTCCACCAAGTCTTAAGAAATACTATGTGCTCATCTGGAAAGTACAGCCGAGTTAAAATTGTTCATAGAGTATAAAGATTTGAAATGTTTTTTAAGCACAAATGAGATCCATGTGCATAGAATTGTGCGCTGTGTCAGGACCATCAACATACAGCCATCTCTAAATTTTTTTATGCATTCTACTGCATTACATTTTGTATATTTTTAACAATAAGAGGCTTTTTGTCTGCAAGCATGGCTTAATTCAACTATGGCTTCATTTGCGACGGCTTTCTTACTGCTTCTTAAAGCAATTTTTTAGTACAAAAATTAATTTTTTTTCTACTAAAAAGATGCTTTAAGAAGCAATAAGAAAGCTGGCTCAAACGAAACCTACGATTAGTAAATCTTATAAATCCTAAAAAAATTTGGGCATATTAGACGCAAAAGAACACAATCGTCAACAAGCCAGAAAAACTTCAAGTCTCACACATTAATTTTCCAAAAATAAGGATAAGGACTTAAGTTTTACAAGACCTCAAACAACTAGCCAACGTAGAATGATGTCATGGGCTAATAGCTCCCTTTCTTTCTTTCATTGTTTGTTTCACAATACAAGAGAAACTTCAGGGTATCATCAACAGAGATTCAAAATGTGGAAGAAATTTTTTTTTTTTCCTTTGATCCATTACTCAATTGCAGCTTCTTGAGATCGACCCAGTTCCCTGCAGTAAATCCATGTTTAAGTTTGGTGAATCTACATGAAGTCTTCCTCCAGTTCTTGCAGGGATTTATTGGTTGATGCAATTTGCTTGTTGGAAGTCATCTTCTCTGAAACCATAAGTCCCTTGTAGCTCCTTAGCTCTGACTGCCTCTCCTTTTCCAGCCTTTCCATCTCTTCGCGGCGCTTCTGTAACATGTAAGAAACATAGTGATAGGAAATAAGCATTCACAAGCAGAAAAACTACTGTTTACAGCAGAAAAACAGAAACAATGCAGCAGAAAACTTGATAGGATTGATGAAATCAGCGAGAAAACACATGGATTCCACTAGTAGATAGAGAAAAACAGCACACGATACAAGTTTCTTCAATTTGAGAGGAAGAAATAACTCTCCAAATCTGTAGCCAAGAAACTAGAGCCGCATCAAAGAAGATCCCAAGTTCAGATTTCAAATTCAAAATAACCCTAACCCTAGCAAGAAAAAAGCAATTAAAGACAACAGAAATTTTCTTAATTCCTAAACAGCCCCTAAATTGAATTTTCCCTCCAAAACAAAGCATCATTAGTGTGTGGGCCTCCCTGCTGTTTCCGCTCCCCCCTTTGAGCGCCTCCTGTATGTGAGAACCGGTCCATGCTGGACCGGTTCAGCTTGCCCCGCTTGGGCCGGCATATCACATAGTTCCACAAAAGTTGTTTAAATAGGTCATGCAGAGTAAAGGCAAAGGACCCTGAACATGAATATGCACAAACTGTGCTGAATATATTACAAATTTTCCCAATTTCATTTAAACACAAACTTGTTAAGAAGAAATCACCTTTTCTCTTAATAGCTGCTTCTTTTCAGCTCTTTCTGCTGCATTGACAGCTTCACGCTCAGCTGCAAGCAAACAATAAAAAAGTTTTCATGGATGGTATTGATTAGGTAATAATGTAAAATGTTAATAACTATGCACTGGTGCATAAATCCATGCAAAACATTAATTAAAAGAAAAAGTTACAGGGGAGCTTATATTTTTCTTTCAACGATTAATACCTAATTAAGAATCCAGAAAAAAACATACTTTGAACTGCAGATTTCCCTGGCATATGGAAAACAGAAACTGGAATAGTTAAGGCGGAAGAGAAGAGGGAGAAAAGAGCAAGAGCACAAGATTGTAAATAGCCACCCACAGCCAGGTAGTCCATGGCTAAATCATCAGGACAATAGCAGGATACCAACCCCAAACTTAATTAAGCACATCAAAGTTTGATAAGTAATAGGGGGTTATATTACCTTACAAATTGTAAGCCTTAGTTAGAATATTGTTAAGCACATATTGTATGTACATATTAAACATAAGATGTGTTATTAAATGTATTTAAGCCTCGCCATGTTGTGCATTCTTGCATTCCACAAGTGAAAACTCTATTATAATAGTGATTACAGCGGTTAGAACTTATTTTCCATAATGCACCTACAATTCTCCTCAAAAGAGGCATGTAGTGTCCGACATGACATACAAGAGCCTGACACGTTTAGGCAAAAAGCTATGAAAAATCCTAGTTTCGATTTTTTTTTTTTTTAATTTGTATTGTGATTCTTCAAATAAATTAGTTTAGGCAACAAGTATGAAACATCCATGTGTAAGAAGCTAAGAATAGCAAGAAATTGTACACTCAGAGCACGACTAACTCTTAGTTAGATTATTCTTAAGCACATATTGTATGTACATATTAAACATAATATGTGTTATTAAATGTATTTAAGCCTCGCCATGTTGTGCATTCTTGCATTCCACAAGTGAAAACTCTATTATAATAGTGATTACATTGGTTAGAACTTATTTTCCATAATGCACCGACAATTCTCCTCAAAAGAGGTATCTAGTGTCCGACATGACATATAAGGGCCTGACACGTTTAGGCAAAAAGCTATGAAAAATCCTAGTTTCAAATTTTATTTTATTTTTTCTTATTTGTATTGTGATTCTTCAAATAAATTAGTTTAGGCAACAAATATGAAACATCCATGTGTAAGAAGCTAAGAATAGCAAGAAATTGTACACTCAGAGCACGACTAACAAAGAGTTTTTTTTTTTTTTTCCCACATAAAGCACACAAGCAATACAATTTTTTAAGTGCAAATATGGCAAAAAAATATTACAAATTATTTATATTATTAACAACAATCATGGGTACTACTATACAACGATCCAAAGTTTTGTTTGATTGTATTTTAGTTATTCATTTTATTCTTGATAGATTTCCTAGATGCTTGTGCCTTCATCTTACAACTGATTGCTTTATATTGGAACCCTCCATTTTCAATCAAATTGTAGTGCTTTGATGTTTAATAGTACTAATTTTATCATTTGGACTGGTGTTTGTACTAATTGATTATTATGACAATTATTTTTGGTGATTTAGAATGGATCCAGTAGACAATCAACCTGCATCTTCATAATTGTTTATTTTGTTTTATTTTATTTTTTGTCACATATTTCAACCGATTGCATTATTATTATATCAATTATATTATATTTAAATAAATTTGATATTTATTACGTCATCCAATTCAAACTCGGTCGAACCATCAAACCGTTAACTTCTCCTTCATCCGGTTCTTTGTCTGATCCGATTTTCACAATCTTGGATAAACCGCTATCAAAAAACATATGACAGAATTGAGCTACAGAATTGATCTTGATAGATAAGAAAAATTGCGTACAGATTGCAACTAAAATGATGGCAATGCAAAATTGGAAGGATATCCTCAGAGAATAACACCAGCCAACAGCAAAAAATAGATTAAAAAGGAAAGTATGTTTAGCTTAGATACTTAAGGCCAAAATGTAAAGAAAGCTCATCTTCTCCGAGATTCAAGAAAACAATACATAAATTGGTTAATATATATATTACCTCGAACACTATTAATAGCATTACTTCTGATAAGAAAGGAAACAACAAATAAGAAAGCTATTTCAAATAACTGTGCAACTATACCTTTCAAATCTGGATTCCTCTCCACTTTTGTCTTATTCAGTCTGTTGACAATCTCATTTACACGTTTCTCAACTCTCACGGTACGGACCTAAAAAAGCTGGAAGCATTAGCTGATAACAATATTTAAAATAGCATACATACATAGTAAACAGAAGAAGTGTAATATATACATTAAAACCACAAATAACAACAGCAAGAGACTGGTAATGACACTAAACCCTACCAAAATTTTTAGAAGCAAAAATGAGTTACCAAAACCAGGACAGAGGCTCTGAGACCCAACTAGCCAAATGTTGACCCGTAGCCAGTAAAACAAAAGAAAAAAAAATGTTGAATCACTTACCTGCTCCTTGCCGTCCCACGTCACACGATCCAGCGCCGCTCGTCGCACGTCGAGACCATACCGAGCGTTGCGTCTCGCACGTTGCTCGCACGACTCGTTCGAGTCGTTAAAAGGCCGAAGGGACGAGGCCTTTGGCTTCTTCTCTCCGAAGGCTCCCTGCTCTCTCTCTTTTCCTACTCTCCGATCTTTCTCCCTCCCTCTGTGTTGCTCGACTTCGCTGCTTCGACGACGTTCCCTTCTTGAAGGATCGGAAGTTACGACATCTTGATTGGAATCAAGGAACGGGAGCTCGCCGGCTCTGAGTTAACTTTCTCCCTATCACGCGTGTCCTCGGCTCCGTCGTGGCCGTTCGACTTTGTTCCTTCATGCGACTCTCCCTTCCTATTCGGATCGGAAGTCACGCATTTTGATCGGGAGTGACAACGGGAGCTCGCGGTGTGAAGGTAACTTTGTCCCTCTCACGCGCATCTTCGGCCAAATCGACTCTGCTGGATTCGACGACATTCCCTTCATCTGGGATCGGAAGCAAGGACGGGAGCTTGTTAGCCGTGAAGGTAACTTTCTCCCTGTCGAGCGCTTTCTCGGCCAAAATCTTGCAAATCTGCCTAACAAAGGGGTTTAAAATAAGTTTTTTTTATATATAACTTATCATTTTTAATTAATTTTAATGAATTTTAATTAATTATTTTAATTAGTTATAATTATTTATAAATGACTAATTAAAAAATTAGTTAATTAATTTTAATTAATTAATGCTAATTATAATTAATAAAAAAATACATGCCTCCTACCTCGGTTCCCGCCTCAGTCCACGAGCTTCCACCGCCGGTTTACCGGCCGCCAAAGGTATAATTTTTTAGAACCTTTCTCTCCCCCCTACCTCGGCATGCGTGTCGAGCCGGTAGACCGCCTATACACGCTTTTCTCTAGCGTGGTGGGAAGGGAATCCGGCGCGACACCTATGACGAGGTAAGTGAGCAATCCTTTGGTTCCAAATCCTGTTCTTGATGTTCGTGGCGCACCGGCAAACCGCCTGTACACGCTTTTCTCTAGAGTGGTGGGATGGAAATCCGGCACGGCACCTACAACGAGATCGGGATATTCATAAGTACCCGCTCGCGGGGAATAACTACTTTTCTTGCAACAGGTACCGAAGACCCATACACGCCTTTCTCTGGCGTGGTGGGGACAAAGACTTTACACGGCCGCAGTGTCCTTGAAAGAGGGCACCTACCGTGCAAGCTTTTCTCTAGCGTGGCGGGAGGTCCAAATTTTTCGTGGTTTTCCCCTAAACAGGGGAGACACCGGGAGGCTGCCAAAATTTCAGGTGAATGTGAAACTTGACCTCGGACCTATTTTGAACTCAAAAAGATATGCAAGAATTGGGACTCAAATGAACAAGAACAAAAGACTTGTGGACTTGTTGACCTTTGAACTTGATTGAACACAAGCATGAGACCTGAATAAAGTCTAAACGATTAATCAAGGTCAAAACCAAATGAAATAAAAATCAAAATGTGACTAGAAATCAAAATCAACAAATGAATTTGCAAGGACCGCAGGGGACATAGAACTTGAGCTCGTATATTGAGCTTGTGGACTTGGTAGAACTCCAACTTGAACAAAATGACAAGAGGACTTGAGCACTTAAACTCAATACGAACATGCAATTGCACTTGCAAGGACTTCAAAAGGACTATGAACAATCAACTTGAACATGTACTTTGAGCTCATATTTGAACTCGGGCTATACGACATCAAGTGGGGACTTGTAAACTTGATGAATTCAAGTCTGAATGCAACTGGACTTGGATCCAAACACATATAAGGACAAGGCTTGAATCATGTGCGAGGAAACTCAAACTACAAGAGCATTCATACAGTCAAAAGTGACTCAAAGTACATTACAAGACCTCGATGCATGAATTCCTACAACAATCCCTACAAATGCATGCTGATTGAGATGGCAATACCGGCATCCAATAATGGAAGATCCGTCCCTACAAACAAATGCAAGACATCAAACCACCTGAGATTAGTGAAAGGTGGGTATAATGTTGGCAACAATGGATTTTCTACAAATACTTCCAGGAGGTCGTAGTTGATACAGCGGTCCCCTGCAAATCTACTTGTGGATAACAACAGTGTGTACATCGTAGGTACAACGAACCACTGTGGGCACAAATATAAACATCCCCCCACCTGAGATTGGTGAAAGGTGGGTAAGATGCAAGAACAATGACTCTTCTACAAATACCTTCAGGAGGTCGTAGTAGATACAACGGTCTCCTGCAAATGAATACTTGTGGCTAACAACATGGATATGTCGTAAGTACAACGAATCCTTGTGGACACAAGTACGGATATTACCTACAACGACGGTGACCAAGATCTACAAGTGCGTTGAGTACAAGGGTGACTCTATGTACGAAAAGGACACCCTCTGATAGAAGGGGGAAATGTTTGAACAAATTAGAACTAAACTTCCTAGTGTTCCATAGTCTCTTCTCAGTTCTATACTTAAGAAGAAAACATTTCTGGTGCCCAAAAATGCCGGAAATAACAAGTCCACTACACTAAAGACCCTGAAAGGAATTCCTTTCAAAGCAACGATCTCTGACTTCAAAGTCCAGAAGAAACCTTCCCCGATGAATGAGAAAGGGGGGTTCAAAATCAAGGCCTCAACGCCACCGGATCTGCAATACTCATGCAAGCAGACAGAAGGCGTCCACAATCTACAAAATAACACCACCGGATCCGCAACATCATTGCAAGCGGACAGAAGGCGTTTATAATTTCAAAATACTTTCAAAATACCCCTGCACGTGCACCATAAATTGTATACACATAAGGCACACTAAAGGGGTATATAAAAATCAACTGATTTTGCAGCCAAATGGCACCGCAGGATAAACGGTTATGACGACCCGGTGCCCTCTGAACCGAGTGGTTTTGTAGCCGAATGGCACCATGATATAACGGTTATGGCCAGAGCCAATACGCTCCTTATTCCTTGAGATATGAATCAATAGAACATGTTCGATAGGGCACCAAGCCCTCTGTTAGCTAAGGTGGATTCAAATTTGTCCCCTTAGACAAACATCCAACCCAGGTCTACAAGGTCCACTTGGACGAAGCAACCCATGGCTGCCGACAAGGATCCTTCTGTCAGGTTGGGTCGACTACCTCCTCTGACTAAGTAGACTAGGGACCACGATGGCCCGAGACAACGGAACTATGTGATCTTGATCGGGTCCATCATCCATTCCCCCACCATCCGCTTTAAGTGAAAGATGGTGAAATTTCTATTTTAAATATCAAATTTTCCAAACATCCAAACTCTTCCCAAATTCCCAACTTCCAATCAATTTCCAAATCCAACATTTTCAAATATCAATGTCTATTGCTACTACTATATGCCTGATACTACGTATCTATGGATACAACGTATCTGATCGACAACTAGCCTTAATCGAAAGTTCTCTCTCGTGATCGGGAGGGATAATTAACTATAGGGGCTTGCGCCTATAGGAAACCAAAACTCAGATCATAGTCCTCGCAAAATGAGGGTGAAATCTCTGGGTAGTGTCTTATCTACAAACTCATCTGCCTTCCAAAATTTACCCCAGAACTTATTCAGTTAAAACTTCCTCGCCGAAGAAAAGCAAAAAAGCAGCAAATCAATGCGCGGTGGGGAGGCCGGGGCAGAATTTTCGGAGCCCACACCAAATTAACCAATCAAATAATAGGGAAAAGAAAAATGAATGCAGAGAAATAAAAAGCTGCTGAGCTTGGATGAAATAGGGAAACCCAGCTAGAAATGGAACCCAGATTGTTGCTGTTTGGACCACATGCACAAATCTAGGAGGGGGTTTGGAGATGCATCCTAACGACTAGCAGATCTATTTATCATTTTATAGGTGCTTCTGCATTATTAGTGCTAGCAAAGTGTGCATTATCCAAACCGGTGTTCACTTGAACACATATTATCGCCACAGTGATATTAGCAGGATACTCCAAGGTCAGTTAAGCAAACCTGAGTTCACTTTAAACGTATTATTGATCCAGTGACAAATTAAAATAGAAAATAATAGGCGTTAATAAACCTGCATAGCATGATATGTGCAACTTTTTACTCCATATTTAGAAGTGATGGGTTTTAATATTAATACGGTCAACCAATTTAAACAAGAACCACTATGTGCTAAAAATCTCTTTCTTTTGATTATCATTTCCTTGCTTTAAACAAATTTCATGCAAAAGAACATTCATTGTTTAATATACAAGATGAAAAAGTCATCAGGCAGAATTGAAACCAAACCTTTTATGATTTAAAATTAAAATAAGGTCCGGAGTGCACACAACTGTAGCCATAAAAAAATTAACTCTAAAAAGAATGAATGGAAAGAGTTTCTTTCGAAGAAATAAAAGTTCAACTAACCAGAATGTGCCCAAACTAATGAAGCAAAGTAACAGGACAGATTAGTCATCAACTAAATAAGAATTCTAGTAATATTAATACTTGAAGCATCCCCATGCATATTCAAGTAGATCACTCGTCCATGATCATTATTATCTATTTGAATGGCCAGCTTTAAAACATAAGCACTCATAAGCATGAACTAGAAATAAAGAGAGAAACTGTATAATTGGAATATCCCATTAAAATTCGCATATATTATTAGCATCATCACCATCATATTAACACAATTAGATGAAATCAGCTTTATGAATGAATTTCAGAAGCAAATATATAAAGATGCCCATGTTTCAAAGAAGCTGCAACATCCACAGATAGCAGTGGATGACGCTATAAAAAGCTCAGAATTTACCAAACTAATAAAAGTAGCACTCACCATTTTAGAATTGTGAAACCCAACCTGCCCAACATCCATTGAAGGAGTCTTCTTCAAATTATACCATGGAGTATAGACAACATCTACATTATTCACCTTATTTCCTACAAATCATAAACAGTAATAAACCTACTAAAGAGCGTAATGAAAAAAATACTGAAGTCACGCCAACAAGGAAAAAAAAAACAATAGAGAGGAAAAATGATTACCAGAATTAGGTCCAAGCACGAAAGAAATTTAATGAGTATTTATATGATTTGGATTAAGTAAATAAACCCAAGCTATGGCATGAATAGTGAAGGAAAAAAAAAAGTAGAGCACAAGTATTGTGTATCTGATAGGAAATACTTGATTTCAAGTATTTCCTATTCACTTTTACAACAACTCTCAAGACAAACTGCTGTCCACAGCAGGAAAACAGCCAAAAACTGAGGAAAAACAGAGAAAAACTACAGGAAACATGGAGAAAAGACTTGTATTTTACTAATAGATGCAAGGAAAATAGCAAAGATACAAGGATCCTCTATTTGAGAGGAGGATCGCACTCTCCCAATCTCTAGAATTCGATCTAGAGCCCTAGCCACCAAAGAAGAACAAGAAAACTCAAAGCAAATTTCACATAACCCTAATCAATCCTTTTCTCCCTATTTAATGCATACATTTCAAAAATAACATAAAAGGACTTAATTGCCCTTGTTTCCACTCCTTTTGGCTCCTAGATTCAATTTGAAAAACAAGTGGACCCCACCTATTCCCTCCATGCTGTTTCCGCCGGCTCCCTTGCTGGTTCCGCCGTTTTCCTTCTCCCGTAAACGAACAGAGCCGGCCCAATGGATTGGGCCGGCTGGACGGGTCCTCTATGAACCGGTCTAACATTACTGCCCTCCCAAAGAACCACCTCGTCCTCAAGGTGGAAGTCAGGAAACTATCGCTTCATCCGCTCGTATGGCTCCCACGTGGCCTCGTAGTCAGGGAGGTTCTTCCATTTGATCAGGACATCTGTGGCTCCATCTGCTTTCTAACGAACCTCCATGAGCTCCAAAGGTTCCAAGACAATTTCCATTTCATCTGTTAATGTCCCGGGTAACTCAGAACTGGTAGCACAATCTCCAATGGCTCTCCTTAGCTGGGATACATGGAAAACCGGGTGGATCATCACTGTCGGTGGTAACTTCAGACGATATGCCATGGCTCCAATTTTCTCCAGTACTTCATAAGGACCGAAGTACCTTGGAGCAAGCTTCTCATTCCTCTGGTTGGCGATCAATTTCTGTCGATATGGGCGGAGTTTCAAAAATACCTTCTCGCCCACCTCAAACTGAATATCCTTCTGATGCCCATCAGCTTTTTTCTTCATAATCTGTTGAGCCCTCAACATATGTCTTTTTAACTCTTCCAGTGTCTTATCCCTCTCCTCCAAATACTCTTCTACTGAAGACACGGGTGTGCTGCAACTCCCAAAATGCACCAAGTGGGGCGGATCCCTTCCGTACAACACCTTAAATGGGGTCATCTGAGAGGTTGAATGAAAAGAGGTGTTGTACCAGTACTCAGCCCATAATAGCCATTTAGCCCATAGCTTGGGTGTTTCTGATGCGAAGCATCTCAGATAAGTTTCCAAGCTCCGATTGACTACTTCTGTTTGGTCATCCGTCTATGGGTGGTAAGCTGTACTCCTTTTTAGCACTGTCCCCTGCAGCCTGAACAATTTTTTTCAGAAATGGCTGAGGAACACTTTATCTCTGTCTGATACTATCGCCTCTGGCACTCCATGTAGTCTGACTATCTCCCTGATAAAGAATGATGCTACTGTCACCGCCGTGTATGGATGGCGTATAGGAATAAAGTGAGCATATTTGCTCAATCTATCCACTACCACCAAAATCACAGTGAATCCTTCCGAGCGGGGTAGCCCATCAATGAAGTCCATAAATATCTCCTCCCAGACTCGTCCTGGTAATGCCAATGGCTACAGTAATCCCCCTGGTGACATAGCTAGATACTTATTTCTTTGACACACCTCGCACCTGGATACCATATCTTCCAAATCTCTATGCATACCTTTCCGGTACAGCTGCGCGACTAGTCTCCTGTAGGTCTTTAGCACTCCTGAATGACCTCTCACTGCAGTTACATGGAACTCCTGGAGCAGTTGTGGGATGTGTATTGACGTTCTGGGTAACAAAAATCTCCCGTGGTACAACAATCTCTCCCTCTCCAACGTGTATCCTGAATGGCTGCCCTCTTCCTTCAGTAAGTCAGCTCTGATCTTGCTTAGTTCCTCGTCCTTGGCACTCTCTTCCTTTATGGCTTCCCAATCTAGCATCATTGGGACTGATACAGCCACTGTCTGCAGCTCCCCCATGCATCTGGACAAGGCATCTGCTGCCTTATTTTCTACCCCTGGCCTGTACTGGATCTCAAAATCATATCCGAGCAGTTTAGATAGCCACCTATGATGCTCCTCTGTCACCATGCGTTGCTCCAGCAAATATTTCAGGCTCCGCTGGTCGGTTCTGACGATGAAATGTCTTCCGAGTAAGTAGGGCCGCCACTTCTGGATGGCCAAAACAATTGCCATCAACTGCCTCTTATAGACAGAATTCAGCCGAGCTCTGGTAGTCAACACCTGGCTGAAATATGCAATGGGCTTGTGACTCTGCATCAACACTGCTCCTAGCCCGTATCCCGATGCATCTGTCTGTACTATAAAAGCCTGAGTAAAATCCGGTAAAGCTAAGTCTGGAACTGTGATCATAGCTTTCTTCAACTACTCAAATGCCGTCGTAGCTGCCTCCCCCCATAAGAATCCATCTTTCTTCAACTGCTCAGTGAGTGGCCAAGCTATAATGCTGTATCCCTTCACAAATCTTTTGTAGTACCCTGTAAGCCCTAGGAATCCCCTCAACTCCTTCAGGTTTTTGGGCAGTGGCCACTTAAGCATGGTCTCAATCTTGGACTGATCTGCTGCTACCCCTTCCTTGGATATCACATGACCCAAGTACTCCACACTGGCTTGTGTGAAGCAGCACTTCTTCAGGTTAGCCCTCAGCTGGTGCTCCTGGAGAACCTTTAACACCTTCTTCAAATGCCCCCAGTGTTATTCCTCTGTTCTGCTATACACTAAGATGTCATCGAAGAATACCAAAATAAATCACCTCAGATACTATTTGAAGATCGTATTCATGAGTGCCTGGAAAGTGGCTGGAGCATTGGTGAGGCCAAATGGCATCACTAAGAATTGGGCACATCTTCTTTCTTCATTCGAATATGATGATATCCTGATTTCAAATCGATCTTGCTGAAAATCACTGTTCCACTCAATTCATCCAACCGCTCTTCAATCACTGGTATGGGAAACTTATCAGGTACAGTCTCCTTGTTGAGTGCGCGGTAGTCTACACAGAACCGCCAGCTGCCATCCTTCTTCTTTACCAATAGAATAGGACTAGAGAACGGGCTAGTGCTGGGCCTAATGATCCCTGCTTCCAGCATTTCTCTGATCAACTTTTCTATTTCGTCCTTCTGAAACTGAGGGTAACGGTA